GCTTTTAGGTCGCGCTCGCCTTATGATTAAAAAAAATTGAGGCAAAACAATTTTTATCGAATAGAGCATTCTATAACCTTTGCATTGATATATAATTTGCAGTGGTTGTCTTTAAGACAGCGCGGTAATATTTTTTTCGCTAAGGACACCCGCGAAGGTTTACGGTAACCTTAAAGAAAGACTACTTTGTAAAAGCACGTAAGACGTTCTTTAGACTTCCTCCTAAAGCGACTTAATATGTAGCACTTTCCAGTATGAACTTTCTTTAAAAAATGTTACCAAATTACTTGACGAAGAGAGAAACTAACGATTGTCTTGTTATTTCCAGTCTGCTTCAAAAAGCTCTCTTCCTGTGACAGTGGGGTGTCTCATTACGTTGATGATATTATATCGCATTGCAGATGTTAGACTGTGAACGTAGAAAAACAAAGGGCTTTTAATACAAGCAATTTTATACTTTGAGTTTGTAGGCGCACATAAGGTTTCACCTCACATTTTAAATCTCTACTCTGGGAGAGTGGGAATGAACTGCAAGTTTTAATTTGATGAAATATCCCTCTGAACTGCTTTCATTTTTTAACCTTACTCTTTTAACGAATTAAAAATATATATTGTTGGAGTGAATTAACTCGATGAACAGCAAAGAATTTGCCTGGTTGTATTCTTTACAGCTTGTCTCACTTCAGGAATCTTCCAGCAGTAAAGAAACGGGTTTAACGACGAGTGAAGGTAAACTAGAGTCACTGCTAATTGCCAAGGAAGAAAACTGGATGAAGATAGTCCTCTGCTGTACAAAGCCGACATAACACCATACGGAAGATAACAAACTACTAACGCAAACTGTAACCACATTGCACTGGACACTGCCTTCTTGTATCGTGCCATGTTCAGTGAAATTGTTTGGCTCGGTCGTTCTCGTTGACCATGGCCTCGTTCCTGGGTTTGATGATGTCGAAGAATCAGGAAAATCTTTGTGTAGCAGATGATTGAGGTAAACATACACGACAGTATCACTAGTATGCCATACCAGTAGGTAATAACGTCATTTGCAAGGTACGATGTGGCTGCGACCGTGGACACAACGCAGAAGGTAACCAAAATAACATATGTTCGCTTCAAAGTTACAACTTGCCTGTATTTCAACCCCAACACCAACGCCAGGAGTCTGTCTACGCTTATTGCAGTTATTGTTAACAGAGATACTGAAGACAAGGTGTAGCCCGTAATAAAATACGAGGGGAGCGAATATCGACACAGATTCCAATCTTCCGTAACCATAGAAATCCAACGGATAATGCCAAGGGGCTCTGCAATTAGACCAATACAGATATCCGTTGATGCGAGACATAGAAGGAAGAGCTTGGATGGCGGATGAAGGGAAGACTCCTTGTGAAGGGCAATTAGGATCAGAGCATTTCCAAGCGAGGCAGTGATGGATAACAAAATGTTGAACGCTGATATATATATCAAGTGTACATTCATTCTCTCTGTCAAACCGGACGAACATTGAAGTTTTTCATATGCTTCCGTCTGGTTTTCTCCTCCAGCAAAGTTTGTGAACGCCATTGTTCTCTGATGTGGTGGGAAGAAACTGAAAAAATGGATAAAGGAGCTCGATATACGTTCTCCATGTTCCTTCACTTTCCAAAACGGTAAACAAGCGTCTGTTTTCTGACGATGGCAATCGGTTTCGATGAATTTAGAAAGTATGTCACGCCAAATAAGTTGCGAAATGATTGCGTACTGTGTAATAAATAACGTCGGGAGTTGACTTTGGGAAAATGTATCTGCTCTCATCTTAATGAGCACAGTTTACCTAGTTTTAATTCTTCTACAGAGGCAATGAAAGAACTTTGTTTGCCAACACTTTTAAAACATAGGCTATTTCACAGCTGTTTCTTCCTTTTTAAATATGCAAATGAAATTATGGATTTTAAGTTTGATGCAAAGCGAATCAGTGACATCCATTCTTATAACACTTGTAGCAAATCCAATTTTTACTTACCGCGAGTAAGAAGAAATTTTGGAAAACAGAACCTTTGATTTCAAGGAATAGCAGAATGGAGCAGTCTTGACAAACCAATACGTGACATGAGGTCACTTTTACTTTTTAAGCCTTGAAGAAGGCAGTTTTTTTACTCGTTTTTATCCTGTAATTTTATTGAACATTTTAATATATATATATATGTCTGGATTTATGAAAACGGTGTTAAAGACTGAATCAGGTGTTTTTTGATTTTTTTTTTTTTTTTTTTTT